CCCGTTTGTGACCAGACGTTTGTCCCACAACTGAAGGTGGAAGATGGTAAAAAAAAACACCTATAAATGAAACCTAATAATCTCTCTCATTTAACATTAATGTACAATAACTTATTAAACACAATAAACACACAATAAACACAACTGATAGTATATGGACACAAAGTGCAATGTGTTGAGATGCAGTGTCTACACTATAAAAAAAAAGCTAAAAAAGGGGGTTCGCAGCGATACCATAGAAGAACCATTTTTGGTTCCCCAAAGAACCTTTCAGTAAACAGTTCTTAAAAGAACAATTTTTTATTGTATAGAACATGCTATCTAAATCTAAAGACCTTTTTCCACTACAAAGGATCCATGGATGTTAAACGCTCTTCATGGAACTAGCCTACATGCCAATAAAGAACCTTTATTTTTAGAGTGTATAACGTATATTTGCTTTTCATTGCTAACAATGAGTCTTGCTGTAACACCTGATGCCCTGCAGAATCCTTTATGTAAACAGTAATAGCTGTGCCAGTGCTGACACCTGTACACACAGGTGACAATGTCATTCTAACACACACCCATATTTACACACAGATCTCCTGTTTGCAATCATTACAATAAACTACTCACCGAGGGAATATTATTAGAACGTACAGAACCAGAATTATTTTGTTGCATCTATAATAAACCAGAAACAGCAACATATTACTAAAACAAAGTGTTTGTTTACAAAGAAGTCATATTATCGGTTTAATAAAACTATGACAGACACTTGTCAGTTATCAAAATCAGATCACATAAATACACGATTATATTCTGCATGAGTGCATTAGTGTAAGTGTATGTAACTCTGATCAGATGAAGACCCTAATCCTCCAGAATGACTCTTCTGCCCCCATAAGCCTTTGTCCGCAGAGCCAATCCGAGTCCAGCATGAGAGACTGTGAACCAATGAAACAATTGCCTGTGGCATGAAAGCCAATCAGATGACAGTATGCGTGGAAACTAGGCCAGAAGCCAAAGCAACAGAACAGTGACAACAGATGCCCCAATCCATACACACAAATAGGATATTGTAATATACATCAAGCTTATGAATACACGTCACACACGCTAATTTATTTAAACATATCTAACGTATATGCACATGGAATATTGTAGTCTTAAGTATGGAGTAAAAAGCTCCAAAACATAAGGAATTCTGGGAAATATTTCCCCCTTAAGTATCCTACCCCGTTTCAATGGACCGGGTCAGGAGTCAATGGGAACATTATGAACTCCTGAACTGTTTATGTTGGAACAAACATCATGATGGATTATTTAAAGGGGTCATATGATGCGATTTCAAGTTTTCCTTTCTCTTCTTGTTGTTTGTCATTTCTCCGATTACAAATGCAGACATGGTTTTATGTTTACGTGGCGCGATGCAACACAACGCATAAAAAGAGAGTATAAGTCATTATAATCCATAATTATGTCCCTACTGGATGCAACAAATGCCTCGTTTACAATGGGTTTTACTGGTTTTGTCTCGTCACGCTGGGACACGGCATCACAGTATGGTAGGGGCGTAACATTTCCGTCACACGCTTGAGGTATTCGGCCAATCACAACGCACTGGTTAGCTGGCCAATCAGAGCACACCTCGCTTTTTCAGACCGATGAGCTTTGTAAAAATCGAGCGTTTCAGAAAGGCGGTGCATAGAGGAGAAACAATAAAGTACAGTATGTGGAAAATAATGTGTTTTTTTAACCTTAAACCGCATAAACACATTTCATTACACCAAATACACAAAATAATGTTCTTTTTTAGCAACGTCATAAGACCCCTTTAATATCTGATTGAAGTACACAAAATAACAGAGCGCTGTCTCATGCACACAGGGACGTGGCAGATGTGGCCTAATAAGGGGAATCATCCTTCTCTGGGTCTCTCTGTTAGGAGAAATGATGCAATCTACATGAAACATAAACCACAAAACAGACACCCTTCTGCACTAACTGGCCATGTGGCACCACTGTCTTCATGAACCGGGTCCCCACTCATTACAGCAACTGTGTGACATGCTACATTCATCTGAAACTATTTTAAACTATTTTCCCATTCTTGTATAATTATTATACAAGCAGGTTTTTCCTTTTTTGTAAGCAGCTTAGAAAGGAGAAACTGCATGGAATATTTGTGCTTGCAAAAATGTATTTCTCACATTGCAGGCATAAAAAATACAAACATCTCTCCTTGACGCCGTTCAACAAGTGGGGCTGACTACTGACCTCTATGGCTGGGGATTTCCAACTGGGGTCCACAGTCCACAAGGGGCTGCTTGGGGGTCAGTGAAAAAATGTAGTGAAAATGTTTTTATACAAAATGCACTTTCACATAATTTTCATTTCAATGTACATGTGCTCAAAAATAGTTTTGACATATTTAGTTTGCTCTCTAGTTGTATGAGCTTTTCTGTAAAGCTACTTTGGAAAGATAGTTATTATGCAAAATTGTATACAAATAAATTTGTATAATTATTATTAAAGATGTTTCTTTTATAGTCTCTTATACATATACAGTTAACTTAATACAATAAAATATTCTGAGTGCTGTAATGTTATGTAACAACATCCTGCCCAGTGACTACAGATGCAAATTAGCTATCGTGCTAACTCTGGCACAACATTTGTGTTATGCATGGTCCCTTAAACAAATGAAATAAACTAAACTAAACTTAAAATTTTAAACACACAGTATAAACAGATCTGTTTATACATGAAGATATAAAGCTTCATTAAACATTCAATTTAAAACCTTTTTATTGTAGAAAGGGGGTCCCTCACAAGCAGACCCTTATATTTGGGGGTCCTTGGAATAAAAGCTTGAAAAGCCAGGTCAGGGCTAGTCAAAATTCATGGTGGTCATAAAACATTTTCACTGGCCCCCATGAAAATGCTGGTTTTATGACCATCATGAATTCTGAATATTTGCTTGCTTGCTTGCATATTTACTTACTTGCTTGTACATTTAATATTCATCCCAAAATGTGTGACAGGAAAAATATCACAGGAGTATCTCACATCACATGGGTTTCTCAAATAATATCAGAGAGAGAGAGAGAGAGATGCACTGGGTGTTTAAAACTTTATGACCAAGCGTATTACTTGAAAAATGCACAACAGAATATCCCAATGCTTTACACATACCAGCTTCACTTATAACTGATTTACGTGCCCTATATATTCACAAAGGCGGTGGCCGTGTTATGAACAGCTCACTGGAATGGAAACGGAATATGAGAGAGAGAGAGAGAGAGAGAGAGAGAGAGAGAGAGACTTTAAATTCCAAAAGATACATCTCCCTTTATACATCCCATCAGCAACGTATCAAATGTGTTATAATGTCTTAAAATACACGTTTCTGTTCTCATCCAAGGTCACCGGAACCGCTCGCGCTGACCCGTTCGTCTCCTTCTGTCGTTCACTTTCCCTCTCTCTCTGACCAGACAAACGGGCAAGTACTCACCCTCCGATAGCTCCAGCTCGAGCTCCGCAAGCCGCGCGCGCACCTCCAACGGCAGCGGTAACGAATCACGGTCTGCCATTGGGACTCCAGCACATCCGAGCCTCGGTGTGTCTCTGTGTTTCCCGAGCACACGGTGTCAAACGTGTATTTCACGGTGCAAAAATAGACCGCATGAGTGTGAGCGCGGATGGACAGCGAGCAGACGCGTTACTGGAGACCCGTCATCACCGGTCTTGTTTTTTCGGTTTCGCTCGGCTTCCTTCTGATCCTAGATTGTAGTGGTGCACAGGAGCGAAGCTGCCCGTGTATCCACTGCGGTGCCACCGTGCCCGCCGCTGCCGTCTCGCTCACGTGACCTCGGTCTTAGTTCAAACGCAGTGGAGAGCGACAGTGCGCGCGCGCACCGGCTGTAACGGAAAGCGGCAGCTGTGTGAAGATACAACGACCTACAGTGCCATCAAACACACCCCGGGGGAATGAGGGGGGCACATCGGCTCTTTCTGCGTCACATTTTGAAGGATAATCTAATATAAAGATTCTCACCTAAAAAAAAAAAAAAGCGAGCAGACGCGTTACTGGAGACCCGTCATCACCGGTCGGGTTTTCTCGGTTTCCTTCTGATCCTAGATTGTAGTGGTGCACAGGAGCGAAGCTGCCCGTGTATCCACTGCGGTGCCACCGTGCCCGCTGCTGCCGTCTCGCTCACGTGACCTCGGTATTCATTAAACCTAAACGCACTAGAGAGCTACAGCGCGCGCGCACCGGCTGTAACGGAAAGCGGCAGCTGTGTGAAGATAAAACGACCTACAGTGCCATCAAACACGCCCCGGGTGAATGCGGGGGACATACCGGCTATATGCATCAATTTTTCAAGGATAATCTAATATAAAGATTCTCACCCATTTTAGGAGATATTATAGGCGAGTGTAAGTAAATACAATTGCAATTAGTTCACGATTCAGTCACATTTTTCACTCATTACAGTACTGAAATATTTTTTATTATCTAAACAGAAAAGCAGGCTGCTCAATCTATGTAGGCCTAATGTTACACGTTTTATGTTAATATTTTTTATTCATGATTATTAGATATTTATGTCAATGTAATATACAATACAATTATATATTATTATTATTTATATATTTATTATATAATATTAATTTGTTCTCTTTTACTAGTTTATAAAAATTTTACTGATCCTGCACAACCACAAGGCTGCAGTTTCAGGACCGCAGTTCTAGGACCCTATTCTTTTGTAACAGCGCCACCTACCGAATTGGATAATATAGCGGAGGCTGCAGTTTCAGGACCGCATTTCTAGGACCCTGGTGGTTTTGTTTGTAGTAATGTTTGAACATGTTAAAGATATTGAATTTCAGGGGGAAAAAATGTATTTCAATTGTGATTTTTGATTTATAAATGCATCAGATGTTAATTACAAAGTGTGTAACGCATAACACAACATCATAAAAAAGACCCCCTTTTCCATCAGTTGCAGTCATGGACAGAATGGCTATAGGCTTCAACTCCTGAGAGAGATAAAAAAAAAGAGAGAGAGAGAGAGAGGGAGGGAGAATTAAATAAGAAACATTTGCTTTAACATGTTTAACTCTGTAATATATACAGTATTTCTGATTTAACACTTATGCACTGTTGGGATTGTAGAGAGAGAGAAGCAGAGAACCAAACTCTAAACTCCAAATTTAAGTATATAAGAGCAAAACCTACCAACTGAATGTTCTCTCTTCTTTCCTCAATTGTTTGTCAATCCGGTAACACTTTCTATGAAGCCTGTATTTATAATACATTATCAGGATTTTCTTAAGGCATTATAATTAATGCATAAAGCGTTATAAAAACCCTTAATAATATGTTGTATCATCTCATAAATAATCATAACATTTATAATACATTATAATACTTACGCATTTGTGGTTATAGCTTTTAAGAATATGATTACATATAACACACAATTAATACCATAATAAATCCACTTAATTTATAATGGATTATCTTGACATTGTTTATTTAAGATCTGGACAGTATCTTACTACATCTTGTGAGTGGTTAGAAGTGGTTAAGTGTTGTTTTGAGTGTTTCCTGTGAGGTTAATATTAATTTTGCTGTGAGCTAGTTTAAGATCAGTTGTAAAACTTTCAAATGAAAAAATGCAACGTGTGTTTTTTTTATTAGATTACATTTTATTTTGATGGTCCCCTTTAGTCTATTGACTATAAGCAACTTTGCAACTACATGCCAACTAACTCTCAATAGAGTTTTAGTAGGCTTAATTAAGGTTATGGTTGGTAGAATAAGTTTATGTACTTGCAAATTTGCTTATAGTGAGTAGAATGTCTGTTGGGGAACCATCAAAATAGTGTTAGCATATATTTAGCAGACATACTACTAATACTCTAATGACTGCTAGTTGACATGTAGTCGCAGAGTTACTTATCAACAGTTATCTAAAGGCTACCATCAAAATAATCAAATTGATATTACAATAAAAATAGTTCAAAGCAAATGTGTACACATTCATCTGATCTGATATCAGATCTTATGGCTGTTTGAGAAAAATTATTATTATTATTATTACACAAAATAATGTTCTTTTTAGAAGCATCATATGACCCCTTTAAAGCAGACAAAGCACTTAATAATAATAATAAGGCCACATTAAAGCATTTTGGAATGTTTTCATGAAGACTTTGTATTTGTTATTTTACAGTAAAAACACAAATAAGATGTACTAAGTTATTGTGCAGATCTTAAACAATGGCAAGATATGAGACCTATAATACATTATAACTATGAGAAATATAATCCATTGTAACTTAAGTGGATGCAATGTGTTCATTGTGTGTTATAAATCATCATACACTTAACCACAAATAAGTATACATTAAAACTGTTCTTACGATTATTTATAAGATGATGCAACATATTATACGGTTTCTTATAATGCATTATTCATTCCTTATAATGCTTTAAGAATAACCTTATAATGTATTATAAATACAGGCTTCATAGAAAGTGTTACCGTCAATCCTTCTATTAAAATCTTCCACTTCACTGAAATAGTTATCAGAGAACAATCACTGTTGGGTTAACAGAAATATCAGTAACAAAAGGTGCACTGGGCATTGTGCAAAAATAGTTCATATTCCTCTCTGACCTGTAATGATAATCTGGACCAGAAAGGAAGACCTGCTCAGCCTCCTGCAAGGAGAAATTCCGTAGGGCAGCCAGGGCATATATGATGGCCTATGAAAAAACTGTTAATTTAAATATACTATTATAGCACTACTGAACAGCAAGCCATTATACATTGGTCCATACACGAGTAGCACCAGCATGCAGTTTATACAGTAGATTTTGTAAGTGCAGGAGCAGGACACTCACAAACACATTACATGGTCCGGCATACCTCTGCACTTCATCTGTGAAGCTCAGTTGTGTTGGTGTCCTATGCAGCACTCCTCTCAGATAGGCAAACAGGACAGTTGCTCCTCACTGTTGAGGTAGACAGGCACCTGGGAAGAGGTTAGCTTATGAGACCACTTAGAGGGCTTAGTTATTTTGATACATTTAAGATAAAGATACAATAATTTGCAGCATAGTTAAAAGATATTGTTAATGTTATTAATGTTATAGGCCCTTGGTGAACCTTTACTATGAGTTTGTTTGTAATGATGATTAAATGTGAACATTGTTTAAGTACCACTAAATGCTCCTCAGATCCCTGTAACTTTACAATGAAGTCCAGCAGTCTCTTTACCTCTGCAGTGTGGT